AAAGTCGTGTGAAAATGTTCTTCTTTTTGGAAAAACAAGGGTCATTTTTGGTCGGCGGCCTGTCAAATGCAAAGTAGGAAATATGATTAACTATATGATGGTACGCATATAGATTTTCTTGGATTTTGTCGGTTGCCTACCAAGTCCCATTTGATTAAGCAATTCTACTTCTAATTGCCCCCAGAGTCAAATCTTTGGGTGTGGATAAGTCCTCTCGTCTCAATGATTCGAGGAGAAGTGCATCAAAATTCTTAAAACTTTGTTATAAAAGTAAAATTGAGTTTTCAAATTTTCAAAAAGTACAATTAAGTCATGCAATTTGTCAAATTGGTGCAATCGAGTCCTTTCGTTAATTTCGTCCAACTTGGTTAACAGAAAATACTGATGTGGCGCTAACGTGGCTAAAACCACGTCGTTTTGATCCAAATATGATTTTTTAATTAAAAAATTATTAAAGTTGTATTAAAAGATTAGCAAACTTTTAAAAATAAACAAAGAAAGAAAATAAAGAAGGGAAAACGCAAGCAAGCCGCCACCGTCGACCCACCATTGCCGAGGGGATGGCCAGCGGGGGTTGCCGGGCCCTGGCCAGGGTGACGGGAAGGACTTAATTGATATTTGTGGGTCAAATTCAAGTGAGCAATATATATGACTCATTCATTTTTTCTTCGGTAAATTAAAAAGGGTTAGAAGCCATAAAAGTAAACAAACTGGGAACGGACTTCCATCACTCATACTTAATGACCTATAAAACTTCATTTAACTTAATTAGCGACCAACTAAAATATTTGAAAATTAAGTCGACAGAGCGCGAAACTCTTGCGATATTCAATTGAAGTTCATGAAGATTGTATTGTGGGATCCTTCCTTTTATATATTGGCACAGCTCTTCTTAGACTCTCAGCTAAAATCATATATTAGCCAAATGTTCTAGTAGACAGATTCTTAGAAATGTGATTCAGCCATCGAACTGGCCGAGGGACTTTTATTCTAGGTTAATTGGGTCTACAATTAATTTAATCGATTGAGGTTACTAGATTGACATCAAGGATGTTGGGATCGCGCAGCAGAATTCCGATACTTTCATCTAAGGAGATCACCGAGAGGGAGTTCAAGTCCAAGCATGTCAACATATCCAGTTAGACCTATTTTCAGGGAAAAGTGCCAAAAAAGTCCTAAACCTTTTGTATTAGTGCCAATTTAGTCCTAAACCTTTTTTTGGTGCCAATTCAGTCCTAAACCTTTTGCATTGGTGCCAATTTAGTCCTAAACCTTTTTTTGGTGCCAATTAAGTCCTAAACCTTTTAAATTGGTGCCAATTCAATCATAAACCTTTTGTTTTTGTGCCAATTTAGTTCTTCCGGTCAATTTTGACCAGAATTTGCCGACGTGGACGCCTGCCGGCCGGCGGCCGGTCACCGGCCCCGATGTGGACAACTTTAATAATATTTTAATATTTTTTTGAATTTTTATTTTTTTTTCCTTTTTTTTCTTTTTTTTTCCACTTTTTTTGTTTGGTCTCTCTCCCTCCTTCCTCTGGCCGGTCGCCGGTCCGGCGACTGGCCAGAGGCCAGAGGCCGGCGAGCTCGACCTCGCCGGCCACTAGCGAGGGCGGCCTCGCCGCGACCTCCGGCTTGGGCGAGGCTCGAGCCCTCGCCGGAGGCCGCGACGAGGGCGAGCCTCGCCATGGTCAGGCGAGGCCCGACCTTGCCGGATCTGGCGAGGTCGAGCCTCGCCCAGCGACCTCGCCGGAGGCTGCGGCAAGGGCGAGCCTCGCCTTGGTTGGGCGAGGCTCGAGCCCTCGCCAGAGGTCGCGGCGAGGGCGAGCCTCGCCATGGTCGGGCGAGCATCGCCATGGTCGGGCGAGCCTCGCCATGGTCGGGCGAGCCTCGCCATGGTCGGGCGAGGCCCGACCTTGCCGGATCTGGAGAGGTCGGGCCTCGCCCAGCTGCCTCGCCCAGCGACTAGCGACCTCGCCGGAGGCCGGGGCGAGGCCGCCCTCTCCAGTGGCCGGCGAGGTCGAGCTCGTCGGCCTCTGGCCTCTGGCCGGTCGCCGGACCGGCGACCGGCCAGAGGAAGGAGGGAAGACCAAAAAAAAAAGTGGAAAAAAAAGAAAAAAAGGAAAAAAATAATAATTCAAAAAAATATTAAAATATTATTAAAGTTGTCCACGTCGGCGCCACGTCGGCGCCGGTGACCTGCCGCCGGCCGGCAGGCGTCCACGTTGGCAAATTCCGGTCAAAATTGGCCGGAAGGACTAAATTGGCACAAAAACAAAAGGTTTAAGACTAAATTGACACAAATTTAAAAGGTTTAGGACTTAATTGGCACCAAAAAAAGGTTTAGGACTAAATTAGCACTAATGCAAAAGGTTTAGGACTTTTTTGGCACTTTTCCCCCTATTTTCACTCAAAAGTTTAAGTCAATGAGTTATGGAGCAATTAAGATATATTAATTGCTCTGAATCGCACCAATTCTCACAAGTGCATCTCAACAAATGATACCATATATAAGAATTATATCTTGAGTTTAAGCTTGTGAATGAACACCACTATATTTTTTTTCGGTCGAACGATCCGTAATTAAATTGTAAAGAAAACGGACACATATTAGGAAAGTTAGAACCGGACTCTTGACAACAGGATTGTGGGTGATGCAAAAATGAAATTTAATTTTCCCACTAACTTCTTATTATTATTGGAGTTGGAAGTCCATTTTGACGTCGGAGAATGTCTCACAGTTGAAGTCCATTTTGTTGGGGGGTTAATGTGCAAGAGAGCCCTGGCTTGTGCAGTTCGTGAATTACATCCAATTGTCTAACTTCTTTCCGTGGATTTGATCCGAGAGAAAGTTTATTATTGTTTGAAGCCGGGACAGAATCTTATGGTAAGATTTGTGTATTCCTCTCTTCGTGTCATCGCTTGATTTATAGTGAAATTCTATATTGCTCTTCTCGTAGACTAATTAGAAACTGAGAAACACCGAGAGTGTTTCTATACTGCTCTTTTTGTGGATTAGGTCAAATTGACCAAACCATTAATTTTTTTCTTTTAGTTTATTATTGTGTCGGATCGTTTACTTTTACAACACTGTACATATGCTGAAAATATCTTGAAAAAAATGAATAAGTTCGGTTAAAATTAACATTTAATCCACTAAAACCCCTCAGAACAAAGATCCCAACACCAATTGCAAACTTTGGACGCATGATATTTCACTTTCTGCTGTGTAAATCGAATCAATTTTCTCCCTAAATATTGAGACATATAGCTCCAATTCAAATTTAAAGCTTAAAATGGGGCCGCGTCACAAAAAGCTGTACCCCTGATTTTTTGACCGAATAATTGATGTTCCTTTTCTAAAACGATTTTTGGACAAGTTCAAAGTGAATGATTCATACCGTCTTTCATATGACGAAAATTGAATGTCAAAGTAACAATTGTATGCAACACGATGCAGTACAATTCACAAGCAGTAGGTGAACTGAATCTCACGTTTTGAAAGACGTTGAATTTGTCATAACTTCGTTTTTCAACACTGCTCGAACAGCATAATGATGTTGGGCCCTACTTAGATCCCCCTAGTTGCTACTAACTGCATGACGTGTGCGACATAAAAAGTGGAGGAATGAATCACACGACCTAATATTAAATTGGAATGGGAGTGTTTTCTTAAATAAATTAAGACATGTTACGTTTCTTCAATAAATTAAATCATGTTGTTACCTTACCACCTTTGAAATGCAGAAATGTGGTAGAAGAAAACCACAGAGAGGGACTTCACTAAGGGTGATTGATTTCAAGATGGGTCGGTTCCCATCAAAAAATTGAGAATTGGACTAGTAGGGCGGGTTCCCAGTTTGTGGAATCGTAAACCGGCCAACCTGATTTTGGAACTGAATCGGATTTGACCGATTGGTCCGATCCGGTTCTCGAGTGGTTCCAGGAACTGGGGATGCTTAATTTTTGTTTTCTATTCCCTGCAAGATTGCTGCTTAGAGAGTTGATAGAGAGGAAGAAAAAGTTTCCCATCTCTGGATCTTCTTGATTGACTCTATATAGAAAGTGAGAACAAGAAAATCACTATAGTGTGACCTCAAGATAGCTAAGAACAAAGAAAAAAACGAAGTTCCTTACCATTCACGTATCTGAGATTCAAATCACGGATCAGGATGATGAGCATAGTGCTGGAGAGATCTGGGCCGAGGGATAAATGAAGAGATAAGGCGTGGTGGTTAAGCTTGGCGAGGCGAGATTTGAAGGGGACGCCAGAGATGTCGTACTGGATGAGGTGGTAGACGTCGATAGCAGTGGCGGCACCACAGAGCTCTAGCAGGCAACCGGCATGAACATGAGGGCGATGACTAAGTACATGGACTTGACCACCCGGCGTTCCCTATGCATCTTCGTCGCCATGTGCTCGGTGGAAGGATCTAGGGTTCTTGGCGTGCGATGGATAGTTCTGAAATACTGACTTTGAACTTTGAGAAGAGAGAGAGTAGGTAGCACCTTGGAAGAGTGAGAAATTACACATACAACCCTCAATGTTTTGTAAATTGCAATAATAATAATTACAAAAAAAATCAGTTTGATCTAAGTGGGTGGGTCCACACCTTGAAATGAGAACCACCCAAAACTGTCTAGTTCGGTTCGGTTCTTTTGCTCAACCCTAGACCCCACCTCCACAGCACAAGGCAATGTTTTTGCTTTCTTCGAGTAATCTTTAAGTACACCAAGACTTATCTACAAATCGATATAGTTAATGGGTACTTAACATGAGGGAGTGTAGGTGGATATTTAAGCAATTGGACCATGCTATCAACACTTAATCAGAATTTGCGTCTACGGTTTTTACTATATAAGTTAAATTGCAGATCGACTTTAATACACCCAGTATTTATTTATTTTTCAACTAGGAAGAAAAATAAGCCTTTTTTGGTTAAATGGCCAAGAAGCCTCTATAAATAACCCTTTGAAGCCAAGTTGAAGAAGCGGTACAAGTCTCTTCCAGAACAATAAGTGCACAGACCCTCAAAACCAAAAAAGAAACCTAGCTATCATCTATCTCTTCTTTGCCTCAAACCCATGGCTTGTGACAAGAGTTTCTCCAGCAGTTACATGCTGTTGAGCCCAGAGAAAGTCGGTGTCATCGATCTCTTTCGCATTTTGATGTACAGTGATGTACACAAAAGAGAATTCGTGGACTGCTCCGAGGGTGGAGAGGAGAGCTTCGAGCGAAGGTGGATCATGTTTGTATCAATTCTCGTGCAGAAGCTTCTGCTTCTTGTGGCCAAACCCCTGTCTTGGAGTGGGTCGGCGATCGAGTTTTGGTTGAATCTCATGTCGAGCAATCGGAACTTTGGAAGGCTTCTTGTCAACTGCTTTCGAGGTCAGTCTGCATAAAAATTTATTACCAATAAGCAACAACAATGCTTCATTAAAACAAGTTGAAATGAGCCTATGTAGTTATATTGTTGCATCTTTAGTAAAAATGTTCATTACTGAGCGAGGTGAATCAATTGGCAAATGTTTTTACCAAAAAAATAATAAAAAATCAAATGGCAAATGTGTGTATGTTTCTGCGTCAGTCACTGCTTCACATCCATGTTCGAGGTCCCACGACCTTTTGCTTTAGTCTTCATTTCACACTGGCGTATTTGCAAAGCTGATGCGACATATCACCAATAAAGCATGACCGCGCCTTTTCAGGGTTTTTTCTTTAGAAATGGGACAAAAGCAATAATGGCATATGATCAGAAAAAAACATGCGTGGTTAGATTCATGATACCATTTCAATTGGGTGCACGATCATTACTGGTATTGATCAAGCACTGCACTGCTAAAACAGTGGGAGTGGGTCTACGTAATTGTAATGGCTTTGCACTTGGAAAGATGATGAGTTTTGATGTGGGGGTTGTGAATAGGGAAGGTGGTGATGCCGGATAGAGAGTCAGGGAGCTTCATATCTTTCCCTGGCAATTGGGACAAGAGAGTGGAACTGGACAAGAGCATCAGGCCTGGTGACAGCGAGTACTATGCGGCTCTCTCCATGATGGCTTCCAAAGCATCCTACGAGAATGAGGCCTACCTCCAAACCACGGTCACCCGCCATTGGCAGGTCAAACTAGAGAGAGAGAGAGAGAGAGAGAGTCTGTAAATAGTTTGAGATTAATCATACTTTGTACTAAACAACTTAAATAACTAAGTTCCTAATGCCTGCTAAACTTGGCCATGCCATCCAGAAATAAAGGTTTTATACGTTACCGAAAACAATGAAATTAGTCAATCGTAATAGCTTTGTCCGTTCTTTTGTGCAGATGGAATTCTTGGGGTTCTACAAGCTTTGGAACGGTACGGAGCTACACTGTCATCTCTGTAGCTGTAAATAATATACCAAGATAATGACTGCCATATGTCCACTCGTTTTCCTTTTGCAGATTACCAAGGTAAAGCAACCACACAAGCCTTCATGCTACGCGACTGCGACACCGTCGTGGTGGGCTTCCGAGGCACGGAACCTTTTGACGCGGATGCGTGGTGCTCGGATTTCGACCTCTCGTGGTACGAGTTTCTAGGCGTTGGAAGAATCCATGGCGGGTTCATGAAAGCCCTCGGGCTCCAAAAGACCCTGGGTTGGCCAAAAGAGCTCGACCCGCGTCTCAAAACGCCGGTGCCATTGGCTTACTATGCCATAAGGGAGAAGCTAAGGGCACTGCTCGGTGAGAGCGACAAAGTGAACTACATATTGACAGGCCACAGCTTGGGAGGCGCGTTGGCGATACTCTTCCCGGCGATCTTGGCCATGCACGGGGAGACGTGGCTCATGAAGAGATTGGAGGCAGTCTACACATTTGGTCAACCTAGGGTTGGAGACGAGAAGTTTGGGGAGTTCATGGAGAGGGTCTTGAAGGAACATGAAATTGAGTACTTCAGATTCGTTTATGGGAATGATATTGTGCCTCGGTTGCCTTACGATGATTCAGCTTTCATGTTCAAGCATTTTGGGAGTTGTTGCTACTTCAATAGCAAATATGAAGGGAAGGTGAGGATCTCTCTCTCTCTCTCTCTCTCTCATATCATGCTTTAATTGAATTAGACTACTCATTCAATTTTCTTATTTGCTTACGCAGATCGTCCGTGAAGAACCGAATAAAAACTACTTCTCACTTCGACAGACAATTCCGATGATGTTGAACGCTTGGTATGAGCTCACAAGAAGCTTCACGATTTCTCGTGAGAAGGGACCGGACTATAGAGAAGGATTATTCCTGAAGATTTTTAGAGTGATTGGCCTGCTAATTCCAGGCATACCTGCTCATACTCTTCAGGACTATGTAAATCTTACGAGGTTAGGAGCGTCTCGGTTATTCCGGCATCGGCAATGACCATGATTAGTTATAGCTTTGTACAATGTAAGATTAATGTCTTCTAAGATTAAATTGAAACACAACTATGCGGCCGATTTCATTAGGACCGTAAGTAGCGGTCTGTCTCACTCCATATACTTTTGTAATATGTTATACATGTATTGTTTGTGCATTTCCTATTAACTTAATTTTTTAGATAAAAAACTTATATTGATATATATAGTATCAAAACACGTGTCAATGTGGTCAAATTGATATATTGGTTGGGTGAAAGAGATGTAGCCTATATATGAAAGTGATTTTTGTGGAAATTCCTTAAGAAATTTTTGGACCTAGTAAAAGTACTATGGGTGGATCAGAATCCATACTTCTAGACTTATTCGGGTATCACCACCTCGGCATTCAAGAGGAAGGGTAGAGCCTTACTAGGCGTGTTTATGAGAGAAAACGATCGTCTGATAAGAGTTTTATAGCTTAGCTTTTGTGTGATCAGAATAAACTACGCCACCGCGGCTGTTACAGATAACTTAATGTATGCAAATCACTTGGAATCTCAATTGATATTGAATTTTCATAGTAAGCAAATCTATATAAAGGTAGCCATCTATGCTACCTTAGTAAACACACTAATTAGATAGGCACCATTTCACAGCCCATAGGCAACAAACAGCCTTCAAGATGGTTGTTCGACCTGGCAACGGGAGGTTTGTTAGTGTTTTCTAGAGGACGGTTCTTGTTCTGAGCATTGTGGTGGTGGCGGCGGCAACCGCAGTTCGATTGTTTCGATAGGGTATGGCATTTACTTGCTAGTGTCTTGATATATGTCATCGTTACATTTGCATGTTATTTGAAGATCAAAGGCGCCACGCTTATTAGTAAGAAGGAGCTTGTCACAAAAACAAACCAACTAATGAGGGTTAGAGGTAAATCTGGTGTTCGATTAGGACATAGGGAATAGGGAACAACGGTCACTTTGTGAAGTAGGTCCCACCGACTGAATCAAGTAAATCCGGTATTCGAGTTATTTTTTGTGTTATTTATTTTATTATTCGATTGCTTGATTTTCGCAATAACTATCGCCAATAAATGGTCATGTTTCATTAGAAAGCTAGATCTTGCTTTTGTTTTTTTTGTCCTATCAGCATGTCGAGTTGGTATCTATTCCATAGCGTGGTTTGCATTAAGATAAGTGATAAATTTCTAGAATAGTTATGTGGATGTTTCAGCCTTTTGTGGCTATTGATGTATGGATGCCTTGCTAATGTAAGTGAATCAGTTGATTTCATAAGATCTATCTTCCTAGGGCCTCAAGTTGTTCACATTAAAAGTCATGAAAATGATTGAGTTGAAGATAGAGATGGCCTTCCATTATTGACGGGAAAATTACCAATTCAGTCCTCAATCTATTGCATTTGTGCCAATTCAGTCCTCAACCTTTCAATTTGGCCAATTCAGTCCTAAACCTTTTGCAAACCAGCCAATTCAGTCCTTTTGGCCGGCCGGCGCTGACGTGGCCGCCGGCCGGCTAACGTGGCGCCGGCCGGCGTCCACGTGGCAATATTTTAATATTTTTTTTTATTATTTTCGAATTTTTTTCTTTTCCTTCTCCCCCCTGGCCTGTCCGGCCAGGGGGAGGCTCGCCGGCAAGGGCCCAGATCCGGCGAGGCGAGATGGGCCCTCGCCGCCGCTGGGCGAGGGCGGAGCTCGCCCAGCCAAGGCGAGCTCCGCCTCGCCGGAGCTGGGCGAGGCGGAGCTCGCCTAGCCATGGCGAGCTAGGCGAGCAGCGAGGGCCCAGCTCGCCATGGATGGGCGAGCTCCGCCTCGCCCAGATCCGCGCGGCGGAGCTCGCCATGGCCGGGCGAGCTCCGCCTCGCCGGATCTGGGCGAGGCGGAGCTCGCCTTGGCCGGGCGAGCTCCGCCTCGCCGGAGCCGGGCGAGCTCCGCCTCGCCCGGCGGCGGTGAGGGCCCGGCTCGCCATGGCCGGGCGAGCCGGGCCCTCGCCGCCGGGCGAGCTCGCCCGGCTCCGGCGAGGCGAGCTCGCCTTGGTTGGGCGAGCTCCGTCCTTGCCCGGTGGCGGTGAGGGCCCAGCTCGCCTCGCCGGAGCTGGGCCCTCGCCGGCGAGCCTCCCCTCTGGCCGGACAGCCAGGGGGGAGAAGGAAAAGAAAAAAAAATTTCGAAAATAATAATAAAAAATATTAAAATATTGTCACGTGGCGCCGGCCGGCGGCCACGTCAGCGCCGGCCGGCGGCCACGTCAGCGCCGGCCGGCCAAAAGGACTGAATTGGCACAAGGTTGAGGACTGAATTGGTAATTTTCCCCATTATTGACTGTATAGCTTTGGGTGTACCAATCATTGGATGACACATGTTGAATTTGGTGAATTTCGCTCTCCCTCATACATATGTAAAATTCCCAAATGGTCTGGCCAAAAGAATGCGGGAGATGAGGTTGAGAAAATTGTCCAAAAAATCTTAAATTTATTATACGGTGACTAATTTAGTCATAAATCTTTTAATTTGATTAATTTAGTAATAAACCTTTTGACAATTTGTCAATTTAATACTTCTGGCCAATTTTGATTGGATATCATTGACGTGGATGCCGATCGCCTTATATGATATGGCCAACACTGACGTAGACAATTATTGCAATTTTTTTTTTAATTTTTTTTGAATTATATATATATTTTCCCTTTTGTTTTCTTTTCTTTCACGCCTGTGGCCGGCTCAGCAACATGGGTTGGCCTTGCCCCGATTTGGCGAGGGCCGCCCTCACTAGCCAGGTCGGCCCTTGCTTGCTTTCCTCTTGTCAATAAAACTTGTTGAAGAATTAAGTAATTGGATCGATCATTGAATCATTTGCTAACAATATGAGTCCGCGCTTAATCAAGTAAATAATAATTTTGGATATCCATGCACGACTCACCAAATCAGATGTTCTCATGTTATTCATCTCTCTCGAATAATCAAGCCAATGACTATAACTAGAAATAGCTCTTTAATCTTTTAGTAAGCTCTTTAGTCTTCTTATAAAGTATAGTCAATACTCTATTAAAATATGAGTCGAACTTGACGCGGGGAACAAAACCCGACCTGAAATCAATTAGGAAAGTCCGGATGATTTGGTGGGAAACAAGGAAGTAAACGTCCCTACTTCAGTCGGCGATTGACAAGGAAGTTTCCTCAACTGGTTTCCAAGGAAGAGGAAGACTCGTGAAGGGGCACGCATATTGCGGTTCGTATGTTTGTTGTTGCTGGTCAGAAGAAGAAAACAACAGTCACTCCTGTTTTCTGACTTTTTCTTGTTTAGGGCCACAAGTGAGCTCTGAAAACAAGCGGCGCATGGTGATTTTGTGCAGAGAGTTTACATTCAATCGAGACGTTTTCTTTGTAAAGATGTGAATGTTTCAAGCCGTGAGGTAATACTTCACGATTTATTTTATCAAGCAATTATGTGAGGCTTAATACTGTATGTATGGATGTAACCTAGACATGGGAAATATTTGATCCTATGAGCAATTGTAATTCTGTAATTCTCCAATTGATTAGCGGATATTTTGCTGCTAGCTCTCCTTATGGAGTAGATATCGAGATGCGGATTGAACCACGTAAATTTTTGGCATGTTTTATCGTTATTTGTTGATTTTTCTATAAATTTTGCTCTCCTCGCGCTTGATTTGGATTGCAAGTTCTGCTAGTTTGTGCACTATTTTCCAACATATTAGGTGGGTCAAATTCATGCGATTGGATGTATGACTTTTTCTTTTGTTTGGTAAATTGATAAGGGCAAGAAACCATTGACTTTATAACGTGATTTTACCTAATCACGACCGACTGACATGATGGATAGCCAGTCGATGGAGCGCTTAGTCCTCGCGATATCTCGGACAAGGGTATTGAGATAGAAATCGTTATATATTTTCATTAAGCTTAGGTGGCTATTTATGACTTGCAAGGAAAGAAATATATAAAATAGAAAACTTTCCATCTTCTAAAGATAGGGTTCCAAAATCGGTAGCCCTATATTTGGTTGATATAGTATATCTCAATTGAAGTTCATGAAGATCGTATTGTGGAATCCTGCATATTATTAATGGTGCATTTGTTTCGGGAAAAATGGATAATTTGGAAAATATTTTCCTAAAATTAATCGCTTGCATCGCTCACAAAAATAAACAAACAAAAAATATTTTCATTATCCACGAGAATGTTTAGACATAAATTATTATCGACAATGAAATATTTTTCATTGACTAAATATTTCAACTGATACAAATAATTATTTTTAGGAAAATATTTTTAAAATCATCTAATTTCCACAAAACAAACGGACCCTAAATTGATTTTGTATATTGGCACAGCTCTTCTTAGACTCAAAGCTAAAACCACATTTTGGTGAATTACAAGGAAAACAGGTTCATGTTGGGAAAGTCCGAACTGGATTCTTGCCAAAAGAATCGCGAGTGATGCAAAAAATGAAAATTAATTTCCCACAAGACTTCGTTATCCTTACTGGAGTTGAAGTCCATTTTGACGTCTGACAATGGCTCGTAGTTTTGTTGTGTATATATATATATTCTTTTTGTTGTATAAATTTCGTTCTCCTCGCGCTTGATTTGGATTGCAAGTTCTTTTAGTTTCTGCACTATTTTCCAACATATTAGGTGGGTCAAATTTATGCGATTGTATGTATGACTTTTTCTTTTGTTTGGTAAATCGAAAAGGGTAAGAAACCATAAAAGTTACAAAGCTGGGATCCGACCTCATCATTCATACTTTGACTTTAAAACATGACTTTACTTAATCGACCACCGACTGAAATGATGGATAGCCAGTCGATGGAGCGCTTTAATCCTTGCCATGTCTGCCATGTCTCGAACTAGCGTATTGAGATAGAAATTGTTATATATTTCCATTAAGTTTAGGTGGCAAGTATAATCTAGAAGACTTACTTGAATGGAAAAAATGTACATAAAATAGAAAATTTTCCAACTTCCAAAGATAGGGTCCCAAAACCGATAGCCCTATATTTGGTTGGTATAGTGAATCTCAATCGAAGTTCATGAAGATCGTATTGTGGAATCCTGCATATTATTAAGTTCATTTTGTATATTGGCAAAGCTCTTCTAAGACTCGGAGTTAGGGAAAAATGTCAAAAAAGTCATAAACTTTTTATATTGGTACCAATTTAGCCTTAAACCTTTTTTTAGTGCCAATTCAGTCATAAACCTTTTGTATTGGTGCCAATTTAGTCATAAACCTTTTTTGGGTGTCAATTCAGTTTTAAATCTTTTGTATTGATACCAATTCAGTCCTAAACCTTTTTGTCTTTGTGCCAATTCAGTCCTTTCAGCCAATTTTGGCCTGATTTTGTTGACGTGGACGCTGGCCGGTCACCGGCGCTGACGTGGACAACTTTTAATAATATTTTAATATTTTTTGAATTTTTATTTTTTTTCCCTCCCTCCCTCCTTCCTCCAGCCGGTCGCCGGTCCGCCCGTGAGGTCGTGCCTGGCCCAGCGGCTGGCAAGGTCGAGCCTCGCCTAGCCGCGGGCGAGGCTCGAGCCCTCGCTGGAGGCTGCGACGAAGGCCTCTAGCTAGGGCTCGAGCCTCGCCGACGGCTAGGCGAGGCTTGCCTTCGCCGTCGCTGGCGAGGCACGACCTCACCGGATCTGGCGAGGTCTAGCCTCGCCTAGCCATGGCAAGGCTCGCCTTCACCATCGCTGGCAAGGGCGAGCCTTGCCAGTGGCCGGCGAGGACCTCGCCGACCTCTGGGCTCTAGCCGGTTGCCGGTCCGGCGACTGGCCGGAGGAAGGAGGGAGGGGAAGGAAGAAAAAAAGAAAAAAAAATAATATTAAAAGTTGTCCACGTTAGTGCCAGTGATTGGCTGCCGGTCGGCCGGCGTCCACGTCAGCAAAATCGGGTCACAATTGGCTGGAAGGATTGAATTGGCATAAAGACAAAAATATTTAGGACTGAATTGGCACCAAAAAAAGATTTATGACTAAATTGACACCAATGCAAAAGGTTTAGGACTGAATTGGCACCAAAAAAAGGTTTAAAACTAAATTGGCACAAATGCAAAAGATTTAGGATTTTTTTGGCACTTTTCCCCTTGACGCTAAAACCACATTTTAGTGATTTCGAAGGAAAACCGGCTCATATTAGGAAAGTCCGAACTGGATTCTTGCCAACAGAATTGCGAGTGATGCAAAAATGAAAATTAATTTCCCACAAGACTTGTTATCCTTATTGGAGTTGAAGTCCATTTTGACGTTGGCTCGTAGGTTTTTTTGTATAAAGATATTCTTTTTGTGGTGTCGTTGAGTTTTTTTTTGGGGTAAAGAAGTGGTGTCGTTGAGTTTGGTCTCTTTTGAATCATAATGAGGACGCTGCATATTTGCTGTTAATGTGCAAGAGCGCCATGGCTTGGGCAGTTTGTGACTTACATCCAATTGTCTCTCTCTCTCTGCGGGTTTGATCAGAGAGAAAGTTCATTAGTATCTGAACATCTTATCGTAAGATTTGTGTATTCATCTTTCCGTCTTATCGTTTGATTTATAGTGAAATCATGTGCTACTATTCCCTTGGAGTAATTAGGAACTAAAGAAACATTAATAGTGTTTAAGTGATTCGAGTGCAGTCTGTTACATCACTTGATTTATAGTGAAATTCTGTATTGCTCTATCAATGGGATATGCTATACCGACAAAATCATGTAAATTTGACGTCTTATTTATCTTCTTGTTTTAGTTAACAATTGTGTTCGATAGCTTGTTTTTACAACACCGTACATGCTGAAAATATCAAAATAAAAAATCAAAATAAAAAAGTTGGGTTAAAAATCACATTTAACTCACTGAAATCCCTCAGAACAATGATCCAAATACCAATTGCATACTTTGGACGCATGACATTTCATTCTCTATTGTGTAAATTGAATCAATTTTTAATCCCTAAATATTGAGATATATAGCTCCACTTCGAATTTAAAACTTAGGCTATGTTTGTTTCGCGGAAAATGAATTATTCGAAAAATATTTTCTAAAAAATAATCGCTTGTCTCTCTTACATAAATTAAAAAAAATGAAAAATATTTCATTGTTCATCAAAATGTTTAGACATAAATTATTATCGATAATGCAAATATTTTTCTATTGACTAATTTTTTTAAGCATTACAAGTGATTATTTTTAGAAAAATATTTTTTAAATTATTTATTTTTTTCAAAATAAACGGAGCCTTGTATCTCACAAAAAAGATGTACGCCTGATTTTTGACCGAATAATCGATGTTCCCTTTCTAACACAAATTTTTGCACAAGTTGAAAGCGATTCATACCGTCTTTAATGCGACGAGTGACGGTAGGGCCCTACTTAGATCTCTCCGGCTGCTAACAAATTATATGACATGTGCAACATAAAAAAGTGAAGGAAATGAATGGCATGGCATAGTATTAAATTGAGATTTGAACGTTTTCTTAAATAAATTAAGACGTGTCGTCACCCCCCTTTCTTGAATAACTTAAATCACGTCGTTAGCACCTTCGAAATGCAGAGATGTGGGTCGGAGAAAACCACAGAGAGAGACCTTGCCTCCTCAACGCCTTAGCTTCCCTTCAGGAACCCGTCAAAGATGATCAGCTTTCATACCAATGAATTATTATTATTTTTCCTTTGAGTAATCTTAAATACAGATGGACAGCTAAGCAATTGGACCGTACTATCAACACCTAATCAGAAATTGCGTGTACGATTAATATATCGTTTTATTTGTAAATCGACTTTAGTACAACCTAGTACTTAGTTTATTTCTAACCAGGAAGAAAAAGAAACCGTGCTTTGTTAAATGGCCAAGAAAGCCTGTATAAATAACCCTTTGAAGCTAAGTTCAAGAAGCAGCACGAGTCTCATCCAAAACAACAAAGTACTACTACTCAGACCCTCAAAACAAGAGAGAAACCTAGCTATCGTCTCTCTCTCTCTTCTTTGCCTCAAAGCCATGGCTTGTGACAAGAGTTTCTCCAGCAGTTACCTGCTGTTGAGCCCAGAGGAAGTCAGCGCCGTCGATATCTTTCGCATTTTGATCCACGGTGATGTGCACGAGAGAGCATTCGTGGACTCCTCCGAGGAAGGAGAAGAGAGCTTCGAGCGAAGGTGGATCATGTTTATCTCCATTCTCGCGCAGAAGCTTCTGCTTCTTGTGGCCAAACCCCTGTCTTGGAGCGGGTCGGCGATTGAGTTTTGGCTGAATCTCTGGTCGAGCAATCGGAACTTCGGAAGGCTTCTCGTCAACTGCTTTCGAGGTCAGTCTGCATATTAAATTTTTACCACCTTCCATTTGTTAATGTGATACTAGGCATGGCACGCATTCTTGGTAGAAATGTCACAACATTGCTTGGTTAAAACAATTCGAAATGGGTCTATGTAGTCAAGTAAAAACGTTCATTACTGGCGGAGGTGAATCCATTGGCAAGTTTGCATATCTTACGGCGTCAGTAGCTGCTTCACATCCATGCTCGAGGTCCCACTACCTCGTGCTTTACTCAGTCTCTGTTTCGTATGAAGATTCATTTCTTTTCACACTGGCGTATTTGCAAAGTTCATGTGATTAGGGGAGAGCATGGAACCTGAAACTTGAGAACCGGATCGATAGGAACTTGTCTGGTTCCAGGTTCCAAGGTATGACACTACAAAAAAATAAGGTTTTAGCCACGAATTTTGCCACGAAAAATTCGGCAAAATTCGTCGCTAAATGAATTTGCGACGAATTTTGCGACGAAAAAAATTTCGTCGCTAATTCGGCGTCGCAAAATTTAGCCACGAAAAATTTCAATTTTCGTCGCTAATTTGCCACGAAAAAAAATTCGTCGCAAAATTCGTGGCAAAATTCGTCGCAAATTATTCGTCGCAAAATTCGTCGCTAATTTGCCACGAACTGTATTCGTCGCAAAATTCATCGCTAATTTGTCACGAACTATATTCGTGACAAAATTCGTCGCTAATTTCCCCCGAAAAAACAAAAAAAAAATTCTATTTTTTTAAACAAATTTTTTTTTGCCACGAAATGTATTCGTCGCTAATTTGCCTCGAAAAAGCAAAAAAAAATTATTTTTAAAAAAAAAATTCTATTTTTTTAAAATTTTTTTGCCACGAACTGTATTCGTAGCAAAATTCGTCGCTAATTTGTCCTGAAAAAACAAAAAAAAATATTTTTTTAAAAAAAAAAATTTTCAAAAAAAATTCTATTCTCTAGCTCAGAAATTAACAGGGATATAACCAACAAATAATTTAAACTGTCTATTTCTCTGAGACAGCTAAAAAATTAACGAGCCGGTGACGGAAAGATTACTATAGCAATGTGCAAGTTTGGTATCAACGCCTAATACGCAAATCTCCTGTAAAAACACTAAATGGGATTATCTATCGCCTATCACATATGTAATGGATTTATCTCGAGTCCTTTTTTTTTTTGCCGTGTATATCAATACTTGACTTTGGCTAAATTTCTCGGGTAACTTTAGACCTAAAAGAATCATCATGTAACTAATCTGCATCCTTGTGTGTACATGCTTATTCATGCACCTATGATTTAATTCTAGGACATCTTACAAAAGGTATTTCCTTTGCATGACTTTCAAGCATCCGAAATAACTCCACAAATTCTAACAATATGTTGAAAGACCAAGCAGTTCCAGAAATGAGTACCATTCGGTAACATAGATATAAACAGCAAGTACCATCTATGTTCAAGGAAATGGAGATGTAAATGTGACAAATTCGGAGGGTAATATAAAAAGTCAGTTCACATAACTATTAATTGTCAAATGCAAACAATAACAACCAATTGACTGAAGAGAACTTAATGAGATCAAAATTACAGTGTCACAAGACCTACCTAAATGACAAGCATAAGAACAAAAATAGTCACTAACATTTTCTACTTGTTGAATTCAGATCCTATATACATTCAAAAAGCAACAGTCGACAAGATCATATAGGAGCATGAAACTACCTTGACTCCCCCTTAATTCAGAGATCATAATAAGATACGCCCACTTCACCTACAAGTCAAAAGACATATTTATTGGGAAGAATGAACATGGATACCAACAAGAAGCTACAACATTAAATCCTCAACTTAAGATTATTTCCAGTGATATCATGGACTATATGCAAAGTTGATATTATTCAAGTAATATCCACCATTTCTTGGAAAATAATCTCACAAACGACATTCAAGAACTGCTCAATTCGAAGACTCTGATGCTATGACATAATTGTCAAGAGGGTAAATCTCCCATTATGAAGAGAGAAAATAGTAGGGTAAACATAAACTACTGTCCATCAGCCAATATTACTGCCATCAATACCTATATCCATATGTATCCAAAAAAATTCCAACAAGAAGAGAACTACATCAGAAAACAAAAAAACTGTTACGGTCCAGCATCTGACGTTTACTTTACACAAACTTACTGGTATATCAATATGTGTCAAATACTTTCATCTAGAATATTTTAAACTGGCTGCTTGCAAAGAAGACTGACAACATGATCTCCTGATGAGGTGCCCACAATTAGCATTACATAGCTTAGCTGTAATAAGAACCAAAAGACAGAACTCCACCACACAAAATGGCAATAAAAACTAGCAAATTTGAAATAATGAGGATAAGGAACTCTAGGAACAGAAAAACAGCAAGCATACTCCTCCTTAAACATTGTAGAAAAATCGTACGAAGAACCGTTCTCTAAACACAAAACTAACAAATGCTCAATCAAAACACATAGTACGCACTCGCACTACAAAATGAAAGCTTACAAGAACTAAACTCCAGATGAAGGGAACAAGATACAAGACAGAAAATGCACCACTTAAATGCGACAGATCAGAACATAAACAATACAACTCCTAATAAAGCCAATTCTAAGCTTGTTAAACTTCCAAAAATTATAATCATCCATATAGCAACTGAGAAACGTAAAGGAAAATCACTTGATAACAAACAAAATTCTAATAGTAAACCAAAGAGCACCACTGATAAAATTAGTCTGCAGCTGAACTATGTATATTACCGGAAAACATTGGCAACTCATCAGCAGAAACCAAACTAAGCTGCTCACAAGCCAACAGACAATTCACATACAAGAATCCGAAAACCGATACAGATCAGAACTTCATTTACCTTGTTGATGTGGGGCAAAGAAGAGTCCCTTGCTTGTCTATCTTGCCAACTCGAATCGAAACAAGTGGCATGCAAAAGCATATGGCCAGTATTCCAACTTCTGCAGGCTCGAAATGCTGATGATTAAAAACAAAAGCAAATCCAATAAGCCAAAATCAAACAACAACTTGAACAAATTACCCAAACCTTCTCAATAACGGTCCAATCATGCAATATCTCATAAGGGACTCTGAATCATCCGTACGAAAATTAAAATTGAAAAGAGACTCCCTATCATCGGTAGCACGGTAAAGCGTTTATCCCTCACGAGGCCACCAAAACGTAGCCATACATGCTACATACGCTGCGATTATCTCGAAATCAATCCTCGGGCAATGAAATAAGCAAAAAACCCTAACGCTTCGAGCCAGATAGACACTTAATCCGGATCGAAACAATAAGTACCTGACTGAGGTGAGCCAACAACCGATCCGCAGCCGCGCTGCTCGACTCACTCGACTTCAACAACGGCTTAAATCTCTCATCCGCGCGGCGAGCCCCAACCACTTGCATATCGAGCACACTGCGGCAGCACCGCAACCCTATCCTCCCGATCGCTCCGCTGCATCAACGGATCTCCGTCGCCTCCCCCGATGAAGACGTCTGTCAGTCTCTCCACCATCCCAATCTCCTCGGCTGCCCCCCTCGAGACCCCCGAGCTCGGCCCGGACTCCACCGAGGATGCGTCGATCGACGACAGATCGCCGGGCTCGTCGCGGTCCAGTCGCGTCCGGCGGTTCTCGCCGTTCTCTCCATCGCCGGAGCTAGCCATGGCGAATCTCGATCGCACCTCGCCGAATTCAGGCGAACCGCTGGAAGAAACTCGAGATAACGAACCGGAAAACCACTGATTCCGAGCTCCGAGGGGGCGGAAACCACCGGCGAGAGGCGAGAACAAAGGGAGAAGGGGGAGGGGACTATTGTTGCCATCCATCGTCGGAAGCGCCGCCGAATCGATCGGGTTTGGAGTCAGGAAAACCCTAGACGCGTGCGGCGATCGCCGGAGGCCGCAAGAAGCAGCGCCGGATTCGGGATCGGACCTGCGAATTCACGACGATGAGGCATCAAATTCGCCGAAGACGCAAGCAAATTAGAGGTTGGATTTTGTAGATCAGGGCGACTTGAGAGGCTTGGGGGTGTGGGAGAGGGAGGGAGAACAGCGAGGGGGATCCGAGAGAGAGAGAGAGAATCGGGGTGAGGGGGGTGAGGGCGGGCAGATAAAAGAATTTAGCGACGAACTTCTGTGTTCGTTGCAAAATTCGCCACGGAATAAAATTCGTGGCTAAATTCATAGCTAATTAGCCACGAATTTAGCCACGAAAATAAATTTTAACTTCACTTTTCCTGATTTTTTTTATATTCATGGCTAAATCTGTAGCTAATTATCCACAAAATAAATTCGTGGCACAATTCGTGGCTAATTAGCCACGGATTTAGCCACGAAAATAAAATTTCGCTTCACTTTTCCTATTTTTTTTACGTTCGTGGCTAAATTAGTGGCTAATTAGCCACGAAATAAATTAGTGGCAAAATTCGTGGCTAATTAGCCATGGATTTAGCCACGAAAATAAACTTTCGCTTTACTTTTCCTATTTTTTTACGTTCATGGCTAAATCTGTGGCTAATTAGCCACGAAAATAAACTCTCTCTTCAGTTTCGCCACGAAATAAATTCATGGCAAAATGCGTGGCTAATTAGCCACGGATTTAGCCACGAAAATAAACTTTCGCTTCAATTTACCTATTTTTTTTTTACATTCGTGGCTAAATCTGTGGCTAATTAGCCATGAAATAAATTCGTGGCAAAATTCGTGGCTAATTAGCCACGGATTTAGCCACGAAAATAGACTCTCTCTTCAGTTTCGCCACGAAATAAATTCGTGGCAAAATGCGTGGCTAATTAGCCACGGATTTAGCCACGAAAATAAACTTTCGCTTCACTTTACCTACTTTTTTTTACATTTGCGGCTAAATCTGTGGCTAATTAGCCACGAAATAAATTCGTGGCAAAATTCGTGGCTAATTAGCCACGGATTTAGCCACGAAAATAAAACTCTCTCTTCAGTTTCGCCACGAAATAATTTCGTGGCAAAATGCGTGGCTAATTAGCCACGGATTTAGCCACGAAAATAAACTTTCGCTTCACTTTACCTACTTTTTTTACATTCGTGGCTAAATCTGTGGCTAATTAGCCACGAAATAGATTCGTGGCAAAATTCGTCGCTAATTAGCCACGGATTTAGCCACGAAAATAAACTCTCTTCGGTTTCGCCACGAAATAAATTCGTGGCAAAATGCGTGGCTAATTAGCCACGGATTTAGCCACGAAAATAAACTTTCGCTTCACTTTACCTACTTTTTTTTACATTCGTGGCTAAATCTGTGGCTAATTAGCCACGAAATAGATTCGTGGCAAAATTCGTGGCTAATTAGCCACGGATTTAGCCACGAAAATAAACTCTCTCTTCGGTTTCGCCACGAAATAAATTCGTGGCAAAATGCGTGGCTAATTAGCCACGAAAATAAACTTTCGCTTCACTTTACCTACTTTTTTTACATTCGTGGCTAAATCTGTGGCTAATTAGCCACGAAATAAATTCGTGGCAAAATTCGTGGCTAATTAGCCACGGATTTAGCCACGAAAATAAACTCTCTCTTCACTTTCGCGACTATTTTTATTTTCGTGGCTAAATCCGTGGCTAATTAGCGACGAATTTTTTTTTCGTTGCTAATTCCGTCGCAAATTAGCCACGGAAAATTGTTCGTCACAAATTCCGTCGCAAATTAGCCACGATTTTTTTTTCGTCGCAAATTCTGTGGCAAATTAGCTACGGAAATTTTTTCGTCGCTAATTAGCCACGAATTTAGTTTTCGTCACAAATTCCGTAGCAAATTAGCCACAAATATTTTTTCGTGGCTAATTTTCGTGGCTAAATCCTCATTTTTTTGTAGTGTGAAGGATAGGTTTTAGGTTCTAAAAAATTAGATAACGTGTTTCAATAGGTAGGTTCTAAGTTCTAGGTAGGTGGAACCTGAAACTTGTGTTTTTTTTTGTCTATGTCTTCACGTGATTCTACGATATTTCATAGAGTTCGATGATGAGTGTATAATCTGGAACTACTAGTCTAAGTTTTTATTTTATGACTGAGATTTTTACTTTTTTAATATTTCATATATTCGTGTGTCTAAATATAAGTTATTGTCAGTGGATTGTAGCAACAATTTGTGATCATAAATGGTGATGATTCAATGCAATCGTTCAATTAATAATACAGATGGAATTTGGGTAGAACCTGAAACCAACCCTGAAACCTGTGATAGAGTAGGTTCTAGGTTCCAAGATATGCAGGGTAGGTTCTGAATTTCAAAAAATTAGAAACTCGTTTCAACGAATAGGTTCCGGGTGAAATCTATGGGCAACCTGAAATCGTTTACCCTAGATGTGATATTGCCAATAAAGCATGACGCCACATTTCAGGGTCTGTGTGAACGGGACAAAAAGCAATAGTGGCATGTGATTAGAAATAAAATATGCAGTTAGATAAATGATTCCATTTCAATAGTGTGCATGATCATTTAGAGAACCTTTCGCCCACCAATATTGACGTAATCATTAATTAATCATTTGAAAGTCACTTGGTTTGGAGTTTTCCATATCTATTCAAGATAAAATTAGTTTATTCAAAGTAGAAATATTTCAACTGGTCTAAGTGAAAACAAAGGGACATTGCATATTAGTTTTTAACCCGAGATTTGATTTCATAGGCATAGAAGGGCAAGTCCATCGAGCTTAGATAAACTTCTTCAAGTTTCCCCACACAAAAAACACTTTGCCTCCTTCATTGTTAGTTCCGAGATAGAGTTGATCATGAATCTAGCGGTCTACTGAGTTCATTAGGCTCCAAGTATGAACGGCTGAGTTTGGATATATTATATCTTTTTCGGATCTGCCTCACTCAGATCCAAAAATTTCCAGCAAGAATACATTATACTGAGAATGGCCGAGCTTATCCAGTACCTAATTAGGCTCATCTGCGCCCTGTTGATCATGTCACCACGAGAACAACTTCTTATGATTTAGTTTACCAACCATCAGAAGTTTTTAATTAAAAAAAAAAACTTGCTGTATCTTCTGGAAAATACACGTGGGTGAAGATATTGATCAAGCAGTGCACTGCTTAAAAAGTAGTAGTCTGTCAAATTGTTTTGACTTTGCACTTGGAAAGATGTTGACTTATTATGTGGGGGTTGTGAATAGGGAAGGTGGTGATGCCGGATAAAGCGTCAGGGAGCTTCATATCCTTCGTTGGCAACTTGGACAAGAGAGTGGAATTGGACAAGAGCATTAGGCCTGGTGACGGCGAGTACCGTGCGGCTCTCTCCATGATGGCTTCCAAAGCATCCTATGAGAACGAGGCCTTCCTTCAAACGACGGTCACCCACCATTGGCAGGTCGAAATCGAGATCGAGAGAGAGAATCTAAAGCAAAAATAAACCCGTACTTAGTTTGAGGTTAATCTATAAATGAAAGCATGGTTGATTTGATGTTGTGACCAAGTGAACACATACAAAGCGATGACCAGAAACGATAAATCACAAGCCACTCCCTCCGATGTACACTTTCCGCAGCTTAACAGTCGGCTAGAATTGAATTCAAAAGATGTCAGGCAACTAATCGTACTTTATACTAAAGAACTCAGTTAACTAAGTTCCTAATACTAGCTTAATTAACAGTCGAATTACTCATTTATTAATAATTATGTCCGTTCTTTGTGCAGATGGAGTTCCTGGGGTCTTACGACTTCTGGAATGGTACGGACGAATATCGCCATCTATATAGCCATATATAATATACCAATTAAGATATTAGTTGTCATATGCCTTATTCGTTCTTCTTTTGCAGATTATCAAGGGAAAGCAACCACACGAGCCTTCATGCTACGTGATCGCGACACAGTCGTGGTGACCTTCCGAGGCACGGAACCTTTCAATGCGGATTTATGGCGCACAGACTTTGACCTCTCATGGTACGAGTTACCGGGGGTCGGGAAAATCCATGGCGGGTTCATGAAAGCCCTCGGTCTCCAAAAGAACTTAGGTTGGCCGAAAGAGCTTGACCCGCGTCTAAAAACGCCCGCGCCGTCGGCTTACTATGCATTGAGGGAGAAGCTACGGTCGCTGCTCGGTGAGAACGACAAAGCGAAGTACGTGGTGACGGGCCACAGCTTGGGAGGCGCGTTGGCGATCCTCTTCCCAGCGATCTTGGCCGTGCATGGGGAGACGCGGCTGATGGAGAGACTGGAGGGGGTGTACACATTTGGTCAACCTAGGGTTGGAGATGAGAAGTTTGGGGAGTTCATGGAGAGGGTCTTGAAGGACCATCAGATTGAGTACTTTCGATTCGTTTATGGGAATGACATTGTGCCCAGGTTGCCTTACGATGATTCAGCTCTCATGTTCAAGCATTTTGGGGGGTGTTGCTACTTCAATAGCAAATATGAAGGGAAGGTGAGGAACCCTCTCTCTCGATCTCTCCATTCAGCCTAAATTATTTTTAGTGAGGCTAGTTGTATTAGTTGGCGGACAAAATGTTTATAACTGTATTGGTCGCTATACAATAGATTTATGATTTTTTTGGTAATTTTCCCAAATTTTTCATACACAGATTGTCCAGGAAGAACCAAACAAGAACTACTTCTCGCCTACACAGGCAATACCGATGATGATGAATGCGTGGTACGAGCTCATGAGAAGCTTCGTGATTGCTCACGAGGAGGGACCGGATTATAGAGAAGGATCGTTGTTGAGGATTCTTAGAGTGATTGGCCTGCTCATTCCAGGATTACCTCCTCATGTTCCTCAGGACTATGTAAATGCTACGAGGTTAGGAGCATCGCAGTTATTCCTACACCAACAATGATTGTGAATAGTTTTAGCTTATACAATGTAATATTGTCTCCTCAGATTGGATCACCGAGATTAATTAGTTGTATTGTAAGAAAAGATAGAAATTAAAACACAACTACACGGCCAATTTCATTAGGAGCGTAAGTAGCGATCAACCCATTCCGTATACTTATGTAATATGTTATATATGTATTGTTTGCGCATTTTCTAATTGTTAGAACATTAACGTGAAAAATATCGGATCTTATAATTAAATCAACACGAAATCACCAAAGAAATAAATTGGTAACAATAAAGAATACCAGATATTTACGTGGTTTGGTATGAGTGTTAGTACCTACTCCATGGGGAGAGTTAGTAGAGAATAATTCACTAATCAATAGGAGAATTACAAAATAATAATTGTTTACACACTTGAATATTTTTCAAACCTAAATTACACATGAACCCACAATGTTTACAAATAAAACAACTTAATTTGGATGTAGAATTCACAGCACAAATCCTCCCACGTTCAGAGAAATCTTTTGTGCGGTTGAAGAAAGAACTTTCCACTGTGTGGTTTTTAAAGAAGAGGGATGACACAAATAGTCCTTGAACTTTGGCCAAATATGTAATGTGATCCCTGAATTTTAGCTTAATATGCAACGTCGTCCCCGACTTTTCAATATATTCAATATAGTCCATGAACTTTTAATATATGTTCGATCTAGTCCTAGACTATATGAAGATATTTAATATTGTCTCTGAACTTGAATTAATGGAACAACATTGAACATTTTTATATAATTTAGGGACTAACTTGAACATGTACCCAAATTTTAAGAACCATATTGAACAAATTAAAAGTTCTGGAACGACATTATATATTGCGCTAAGTTTAGGAACTGTATTGAATAATAAAGTTCAAGGGTCATATTACATATTGAATCAAAATTCAGAAATTATTTATGTCATTATCCTTCGAAAGAATGAAAGTTGACCAAAATAACAAAAGGAAGTAAATTTGTTTCTTATTTCTCACGCACAAGAGCTAACGGCCGTCCTCCGTGGTCTCATGATTAACATCGTATCGAATTTTTCTTGAACAGTTCAAATTCGAGATATAATATAGAGTTAATATCACAAAAAATTTTAAACTGATACATCTGTGATAAATTTATTTTAAACTAATTTTTTGATCACGAAAAATCCTAAACTGGTATACCTGTGACAATTTTATTCCGAACTAATTTTTTGATCACCAAAGACTCCAAACTGGTACATTTGTGATAAATTTACCCTCCGTTAGTTTTTTTTAATTTTTACTGTCAAATTGCTAAATTTGGTGATACGTGGTAGTTAATCGGTGTACCAATTTGGGATTTTATTCCTTTGTTTGTCACAAATTTACTAATTTGTGATTTTTCATAATATTAATCCAATTTAACATAGGGTAAATTTATCACAAGTCCATAAGTTTAGGGTTTTTGGTGGTCAAAAAATTAATTAAGAGTAAATTTATCATAGATGTACCAGTTTGAAGCTTTTGGTGGTCAAAAAAATAGTTTGGGGTAAATTTATTACAGATACATCAATTTAAAATTTTTGATGATTAAAAAATTAATTCAGGATAAAATTATCATACGAATATCAATTTGAAATTTTTCGTAATATTAATTCTATAATATAATACTAATAATTTACATTTTTTTAGAAAATCACCCATACGATAGATATGGTATCGAAGCGTGTGTCAGTGAGGTCAAATCCTAGCACTACTCTCATCATTATACCGATGAACATTAGGTGATGTGGCCTTGAAGTTGTTTTTGGTTAATAATATCAGAAACTTTTGGACCTTGGTCCGCCCCTGCTCCTTGTGGTACTTGTCATGGCAGTAAGAATCACGTGCCGTAACTTTTCTTTTTCGACAATTCTCAAACAGCATAATGATAGTATTTTTTTTTTGGTCAAGTGCATAATGATAGTTGGGCCGCACTTAGATCTATCTAGTAGCTACCACACACATGACACGTGCAACACTAAAGTGCAGGTGTGAATCACACGACCTAATATTAAATTGGATGTGATTGTGGTTTTAAATTAATTAAGACATGGGGATGTCTACAACCTCCTATATGCATAATGATGGGGATAAGTCTATTGAAAGTGCCATAATTTTCATACGAATGTCACTTAAGTATCATTAACAATTTGTCTCGCGCGGCAAAAGCTTGATTTCACTGGGGGAGATTATTAAGAGGGAGTCCAAGTCCGAATTTGTCAATATATCTAGTTGGACACATTTTTACTTAAAAATTTAAGGCTGCTATCGGGACTGCGTGGTGTCCGCGTTTCTACCCACAACGGCCACCACCCAGAAACCACATTGGTTAGCAAATTTTTTTCTTAAGATATTCACCAAACATCGATACAACATTGGAAGTGGGCCATCAATCAACCATCAGCTCTGATACCATTTGTTGGGAGCACGCAGTAGAAGCCCGATACCTTCACTTAGGGAGATCGCCAAGAGGGAGCTAAGTTCGAGTCCGTCAATATATCCAATTGGATCCACCTTCACTCAAAAGCATAAGCCAATAGGTTATGAGTCAACTAGGATATATTAACTGTTCAACACCACACCAATTCTCCGATGTAGGATTTTTCTAACACAACTCACATATGTATCTCAACAATTATTTATTTATTATTTTTCTTTTCCTTATTTTCAATGTCGGCGAAAGTCCTTGTTGACCCTCACCGGCTGCGAAGGCCCAGGGCGAGGCCTTCGCAACCGGCGAGCGTTGCCGGCCCTAATAAAAAAGGAAAATAAAAAAAACATTAAAAAAATCCATGTCGGATGAAAAATTGATTAAAAAAATTTACGTAGAATGATTTGCCAGAAATAGCACTCAAATGATCGATTTTGCTCCAATGTGGCACTCAAGCGAGAAAAAAAAAGTTATTGCACTTAAGTAAATACCATATGAAAGTCATGACACTTTTACTGTATTTATCCCCGGAATGGTGTGTCAAAGAAAACAACATAGAGAGACCCTATTTCCACGACATGTTAGCTTATCGGCTTTCATACCAAAAGGTTACGTGTTCCTTTTGCTTTGAGTAATCATAATTGCACTAAGACTTTTCTGTAAATTGGTACAGTTAACGGATACTTAATAGGGTTAATACTGTTGAGGAAAACTCCTAATAATTTTGAAGTTGACAAAACCTTCCACATAATTAGAAGTCTGATACTTATTCTGAACTAATTTATTCCAGGTATTTATGTTATGGAAACTCAGAAGGAAATTATTCAAACTTTACAAACTGTCAAGTATGTTTATGAAAACCCACATAATCTAGGTTATGAGATTCAGATGCAGAAGTTATTCAGATGCAGATGCAGAAGCAGAAGTTATTCAGATGCAGACGCAGACGCAGACGCAGAATTTCTTCAGACGCAGAATTCATAACGAAACACAACAGCTAGTGATCTGGCATGGATTTCACAGAAGGAATGTTTTGATTGTCTCAATCTCAATCAAATTGATTGACAATCAAATATTACGACAAGAATGCATTTCAACGGACAAAGCTCTACTTATGGAAACCAAGATTCTGATTGTATGGGCGACCAGAATCAGCGGGATTCAGAATCTGTCATCCAACGGCTACTCAATCCTTATTATACAAATCTGTCCAAGGTGAAGATTGGAAGATGATCCTTTGAAAGCTGTCCAACGGCTAGTAGAGGAGTATTTAAGGAGATCAACGAGCAGCACAAGAATGAACAGAATCAAGAATCAACAAGTCCAAAGTCTGAGCATACTCTAATCATTTCTCTTGTCGTTCTGAGCAAAACATTAAGATCTTGAGGGACACTTTGTAAGAGTGATTGTGTGAGATAGAGAGTCCTATCATACACAAGAGTGTTAACACCCAGAAGTTGTAATTCCTCTTGATTACATAGTGAAATCCAGCCGGTAGGCTGTCAGCGTGGGAGAGTGGACGTAGGCTTACTATAAGCCGAACCACTATAAATTTGTGTGCAGTTTTTCTATCCCTCTTCTCTCACTTTATATACTGCACATCAAGAGCACCGTCTATACAATCTGTCTTGAATCTGAATTTTATTCAGACTCTTCTGTGATTTGTTTTATTTCCGCATAAATTATCAAAATTATTTAAGATCACCTATTCACCCCCCTCTAGGTGATTCTTGCTAGCTACATCAAATACCACCAAAAACCCCAAACTGGTACGCGTGTGACAATTTTACCCCGAACTTTTTTTTTACCACCAAAAACCCCAAACTGGTACACCTGTGATAATTTTACCCCAAACTTTTTTTTTTACCACAAAAAACCCCAAACTAGTACACCTGTGACAATTTTACTCCAAACTAGTAAACCCGTGACAAATTTACCCTAAACTATTTTTTTGACCATGAAAAACCCCAAACTGGTACACCTGTGACAATTTTACCCCGAACTAATAATTTTTTAATATTATTTTTTATTTTTTCGAATTTTTTAATTAATTTTTTTTTCTTCATCTTCAACCTTTGGCCGATCGCCGGATCGGCGACCAGCCAAAGGCGGAAGCCGGCGAGGTCGGCCCCACCGGCCGCTGGCGAGGCTCGACCTTGCCGGCGTCGAGCGAGAGTTGTCCTCACCCGCCCAGGCGAGGGCTGGCCTCGCCCGACGCCAGCGAGGGCAGCCTTCGCCTGACGCAGGTGAGGGTCGCCCTCACCAGATCCGGCGAGGGCAGCCCTCACCGGATCTGGCGAGGGCGACCTTCGCCGACGTCCCTCGCCAGTAGTCGGCGGGGCCGACCTCGCGGCTTCCGCCTCTGGCCGGTTGCCGGTCCGGTGATCGGCCATAGGTTGAAGATGAAGAAAAAAAAAAGAAAAGAAAAAACAAAAAAATTAATAAAAATTCGAAAAAATAAAAAATAATATTAAAATTTTAGTTCAGGGTAAAATTGTCACATGTGTACCAGTTTGGGGTCTTTTGTGGTATGTTCAGGGTAAAATTGTCACAAGTGTACCAGTTTGGGGTTTTTTGTGGTATGTTCGGGGTAAAATTGTCACAAGTGTACCAGTTTGGGGTTTTTGGTGGTCAAAAA